CCTGAACCACCCTCCCCTCTCCCAGGCACTGTTCACAGAGCACCCCTCTCTCCTTCACCTCAGCCTCTCCATCACTACTGTCCTGCCTTAGAATTTAAACTGCCCAACCTTCTCTCAACTTAAAAATAAATGTTCTTACTTCTCCATTTGCCTGGGACTCCTGCCTCGCCTTCTCCTGTGACCGCTTCACACAGTCATGGGTCCTTCTGTCCCTGGTTTACTTCGTGTCCCTTCACCCCTGCTCCAGCTTTTTCCCCCTCCCACCACCGTGCCTTCTCCCCTCTTCAGCTACCCTCCTAGATCAGGAGGCTACATCTTCTGGGCTCTTGTTTCCCCCAGCCGGGAGGGATAGAGAGCTGGCCAGTTCACTCCATTACCAAGTCCTGCCCCTGAATCTGTGGCCCCCACACACCCCTCACCACCACCACCATCCCTGCCAGGCTTACCTTCGGTCAGCCCCAGGTGGATGCTCCAGTAGATCTGCAGGCACTGCAGCTCCTTCTTCATGCCCCGCTTGCAGCGACAGTCATACAGCGGGCTCTCCTGCAGGACCTCCAGGGCTGCCTGGCACTCCTTGTTGGCCAGCATGGTGTTGCGGTCCCGGCCAGCCAGGCACTGCCGAAGCGTGCGGTAGCGGGAGCTGCAGTTGGATTCGGCGGCACACAGCTCATTGGCCCGGACACAGTCCACTGGGGGGCGCCAGCCGTGCAGCTCGGGGCCCTGCAGGGAGGAAGGGCTGGCCAAAGAGCGGAGGGTCTCGTCTGGGTGGTGGGGAGGGAAGACAAGCATGAGTGAGGGCCACCGGAGTCTCCCACACAAGATGCAGGGCTGAGGGTCCGGCCCCTCTGGAAATTCACACCCATTTACTCCAAAGGCCACTCAATGCCACCTCCCCAACAGAGCAGGTCAGAGGAAGGGCTACTTGTCCCAAAACACCAACATTCCTCTTCAAACCCCAAGAACTCAAGCTGCCATTCTGCCCTGGCTTTATCAGATTCTCTTCTGGTTCCACCCTGTCACCCCTCAGCACTGGACCCAGCCAGAAGGCCCTTGAGAGCAAGACCACAGACTGTTGAAGATGCCAGGAGGCCAAAGAAGAATGCGACAGCCTCGGCAGATAGCTGGAGGCTGCAGGGGGGGTCACATTCATACCCCCCAGGCCTCCTATCAGTTTCAGTTCCAGCCAAAGGTCCACCAAAGCACAGGTTACGCCGAGTAAGCAGAAGAAAGTAATTTAACTTTCATAGCCTGTTAAGACCTTAGATACCACAGAGTCGAGCCCCTAGATTTTACCCTGAGGAAACTGAGGCCCAAAGAAGGGAGATGACAACTGAAGGTCACACACAGGCTGAAAAGGCTTCTCAGACCCATAGCCTATTCATTATGAGTTCTGTAATTGAAAAATAAAAAACATTTTTTAAAAGATGGGGGGGAGACCGAAAGACAAGCCTGACAGTGTGGTCTGAGGTGTGCCCAGAGGAAGGAGCTACACCCTTCTGGCCCAGCCCTTCCACACGCCCAGTCCAACTTCATAGCAGCCAAAAGCTGAAATGGTGCCTTCCCAGGACAATCTACACCCCACCCCTCCAAAGAAATGCTCTAAGCAAAACACTTCCTCTCTCTTTTTCTCTCTTCTAGCTCTTTTTCTCTTTCCTCTCTTCCCAACCTCCTCTAAAACTCTCTCCCCCTGTCTCTCTCCTTTCTTTTCTTCCTTCCAAAAGCCAAGTAATAAGTCAATTGCAAAAGGGGAGGCATGTCCCTCCTAGACCCCCATCTCACACATGGAGCCCAACTTCTCCAAAAGTAAACATGCAGGAAGCTAATGTCCCCCTTCTATCCACAGCCCCAGAGGGTCCAAACCCACAGTCCTCGGAAGAGAGGGTGTCAGGGAAGAAGATTCAGAGGTGAAGGGCAGGGAGAGCCCACCTGGTCCTTTCAAAATCAAGTTCCCAGAATGGTTTCATCTATCATAGACATCCTGCTGGTCTCCCTGTCCTCTCCAAGCCCCTCACTCCAGATCCTGCCCCAGAAAAAGCCCATAACATGGCCCACAGCCAAGACTGCCTTTTCCAAGGCCCAAGGAGTGATCTGGGAGTCTTCCTCTACTCAATCCGGCCACAAAACATAATATGATCTTAGGCCAGAAGTCTCCTCCTCAATATCCAGAAGAATCCCCCCATGTCTACCCAGAACTGCCAGGTCTCCCTCCTTCCCCCCAGGAGGCCCTGCTCAGGGAGCAGCTACCACAGGGAGACAGCGACACCTAGAGGCAGAGCACTGCACGGAGAGCCGGTTCCTCCTAAAAGCCGCAGAAGGTAAAGGAACCCTCTCCTAGAGGGACCAGGCCTACAAAGATGAGCAGAGGGTGGGCCTGAAGTGGAGAAGGCCTCTGGGGCAAGAGCCATGGACATTTCCTTTGCCCACTAACCATACTTCTGCCTCAGGACAGGAAGAGCTGAAGGCTGAGACAGACCAGAGAAGAAACCAGCATGGAGTGTCAGTATGGACAGTGGGGCATCTGCTTTATTTCCCGGATTCAGCAAATTCCTAGGTCCCTGAGCAGGATTCTGTGCATCTGGGCCACCCAGGAGCAGCTGAGCTGACCTAGCCTCACTTGCACCTGCTACCCTCACCTAGCCAGCCAGCCAGCCAGCTGGAGCCTTAAGACCAACCCAGCCCTTGGCCTTCCACTGACTTTGATCATCAATCGAGTGTCCCAGCAGGTTTCTCCCCTCCCGCCTTGACTGTATCTGAAGTGGACTGAGGAAGGGGCACCCTCAGCAGGCTTGCTGACCAGGACACTGGCCCAGAGGATTGGGGCAATAAGGACACTTACCCTGCCTGCCCTACAGGTGCGGTCTAGAGTCCCAGGGATGATCCTTACAGAATCCTGACTCCTGTGCCAAAAGCAAGGGCTTCCCCCATCCTGCCAACTAGCACATGAGACCAGGCGGGAGATGTTCAGCAGAGGCCAGGTGCGTCCTTTCACCAAAATGCCCAACTGCCACCTATCCCTGAGTCTTCTAATTGACTTCATGACCCCAGGAAGCAATCAAGCTCAGCCAGAGAAGAAAATCATGGCAACTCAGGGCCAAGAATTCTAGGAAAATAAAAGTCAGAAGGTATCCTCGTGGTGTTTCCAAGTTCTAGATCAGAAGAAAACTCAGATCCATCAAGAAAAGAGGTGTGGAAGAGCTTCTAGAGACATGGGAGATAAGCGACTATACAGAGCTATAGCACTCTCCCACATGAGTGTCCCCACCAGACCTGAGCTGTCAATGTGAAGTTGGCCCTCTGACCAGGCCCCGCCCCCAAGTAGCTTTCCCCATCGCATTGCCTCCCACCTATGTCAACACGGGAGGGCAGGATGGCTGGGCCTCTGGGTAAGGCCTCCCCACAGCCAGACTTCATTGAGGATCTTGAGAGGGGTGCACAATGAAGGCCCTGCTCCTGGGAAAATGCTTCACCGTGCCCCTAACCAAAGCTCCAGAGAAACCTCTCCCCTAAGTGAAATTCCAATGAACTCCCAACCATGGCTCCTTGCCAGGAAAGGGGCCCTGGGGCTGATGTTTCCTTAACATCAACCTATCCCTTCCTTCTTGACTGGCCTAACCCAGACCTTTTCAATGTTCTGTGGTCACTCACTTAACCCCTCGCCCAGCTTTGGAAAGGGGCTTCTCAAGGGAAGAGAACTGAAGGGGCTGAAGACCAAAGGGGCTGCCAAAGCTGCTCTCCAACTGCTCTCACCCCCTCCTCTCACCATTCAGCCCCCAGGGTCCCAGGCCCCAGGACAGGCACCTCTGACCAGCACACTCTCCTACCTACACACCCACACATGCACCATGAGAGCACAGTCAACTCCTCAGTCCTCTCAGCTGGGAAAGGCCTGCCTGCAGCACGGGGCCTGGGCCTGGAGATGACTGACTGAGGGTCCTGTATTGCTCTCCTCCACTCCGGAACCTCAGAGGGTGTGTGCGGCTCAGCAGTGTGCAATCTGACAGCTCTCCCACAAAATGCAGTTTTCTTTTTTTCTTGGCCCCAGAAAGCTGGCTTTTCAAACCAGTGGGAGGAAAGGTCAGGTTTTATAACAGCCCCTTCAGAATGAGAGTCCACTTGCAGAGGGTTGCAGGGACCTCAGTGGGTCCAGAGCACTTATGCAGCTTCCTACCTCAGCCCCTCCTAGCCTGGAGAGAAGCTGTCTCTGGCTTTGGGCAGCAGGAAGGTGAAGGCCACACCCTAGAGCAGGGCCAAGCCCCCTGGGAAACTCATGCCTGGGGGAGGGGGAAGAAGAGGGGGTGAACAAAGGGCCCTGGGCCAAAATTGACTGAAATCCCCTGTCCTGCTCTGGAGGCACTTATTACACCCCCCACATTCTTTCTGAAACCAGCACCTACCTCCTCAGGCCTTCCCTCTCATCTCCTTCAGGAGGAACAGGGTATACTAGTGACCCAGGGCAGCCTGGCTCACCACCAGCTACACAGCAGGCCAGGTGGCAGGAACAGCACCCACACTGAAGCAGATGTCTCTCTCTCTCTCTCACACACACACACACACACACACACACACACACGTCACTAGCTCCCTCTCTGGAGCACTTTCTCCTGGACAGCAGCCTTGCCTGGGACTCCCAGTCGGCACTTGAAAACACCCTCTTTTCCTCACCTCCACTCCCCAAATGCTCTCTCTATGCCCACTTCCCAAGCATCTGAGATGTCACATAGCATAAAAGTGGGCAAAGGTTGGGAATTCTGGGTGGGAAAGAGCCTGCCTAGGGTCCAGAGCCCCTCCTCCCTGCCCTTAGGGGAGGGGGCTTATAGAATGAGCAGTGGTCTTTGTTCAGATCTGGTTTTTTCATCACCCCTCTGTCCTCCAGCACCCAAGGAAGCAAACTTTGGCCTCCTTTCCTTTCTTCCCACCAGCCAGCTACCTGGTCACCGGCCCCCAGAGGTGAAGAAGGAAAAGCAGGGAACACTGCTCACAACCCTCCACTCCTGTCCACCCATCTGGCTGGGCCTGGGCAGGAGGGAGGGCAAAGGGTGGGGAGAAACTTGAAAAGTATTCCAGGGAGTGGAGCTGGGGGAAGGGATTCAGGGAGTTAGAAACGGGGTGCATTTTCCAGAGGTTGATTGGCAGGTGGGGGAATGGCTGCCAGCACCCCGCCCCTCCAAAAAAGTCCAACAAGGAGCTCCTGGAGAAACCCATGCCCTCCACCACAATCGACTCTGGGAGCCTGGAAAGGTGGGACGGCTGGGTTTTTCTCTCCTGATTCTGAGCCTTTCTCTTCCCTCCTCTCTTCCAGATCAAGAGTTGGGGCTTTTGTGTTTTTTTAAGTTGCCGCAATTTGAACCCATTATTTTGAGCGAAATGAGTACATCATTGTGTGTGTGATGAGTGTATGGGTGTGTGTGTGTGCTCGTGCCTGTGTTCGGGAATGGCTTGGGCGTTCTAAGTCTCCTTCCCAATCCCCCCTCGTAACCAGACAGCCGCGGCTCGCGCCCGGCCCGGCTGGGCTGG